TCGACCAACGTCGTTCGTCGTCAGGTCCGCCATCTTCGGTGGGTTCGTTTTGGAAGAGAGAAGGGAGGGAAAGTTGAAATCGGAGAAGATAAATGGCGAACGCACTTGGTTCCCGCACATGAGAGCACGGAGAGAAAAAAGCTCTCCATCGGGCTCTCAAACGTCGCTCTCACCAGCCGACGACGCGTCCAAGCGGCGTCGCATTGTCTCGCCGGTCTCCTGGAGGGACCTTTCAGGCTCCACAACAGAGCACACAGAAAATGATCACGATTTCCGTAAAAGCGAAAGTGTCGCGATGGAGAATGCTTCGGAACAGGTGCGCAAATTTCGGCGCAAACGCACTCTACTGCGCAAATAGCGCAGAAACACGCGGTGCAAACATGTGCGAGATGAGGGAAATCCCGAGACCATCGTGCAAAGAGCACCCGAAAGTACCGGTATTGGTTCCGCGAGAATAGAGAGGGACGAACAGGTCCAGGCGTGTGGGCATGTGCACGGCTTTGGATGGTCGGAAAGTGCGGAAGGCACTCGAACAACCTTGACTCGTGCTTCTAAAGGCTTGCATTTTGTCATCAAAACAAGCGGAAAAATGTTTCGTAAAAAAGAAAAACAAAAACACTTTAGCCGTCACCGACACTAAGTAGCCTGGTAGGGCAATTTTGTCAGCGGTTTTCCAAGCTCCACCCTAGCGTCAAGCATAAAGTTCGACTATTAGGCACTGCTTTTTTTCGTTTTTTTTTAGAGCATGTACGAAAAACGCAGATTATCTGAGAGCTGCATGAGAGAGCTTCCCGAGAAAATTGATGGGTCGCATAGAAACGAGCGCATAATTGAAAACAACATCCTCTACCTCCTTTTGCTAGCACCCAAAATGCCCTTACGCCTCCTGTTTATGCACGCAAGCACGACCGACGCGCAGTTATCCCACAGACGTAACACGGGCCAAGTGTTTCCCGACGCGTTGTTTCTGTTTACGACGACGGCGCAAAGAACAATAGCACGCAAAGCACATGACACATCGCGAGAGACACGCATCCCAGATCCTCAGCGGAGAAGCCGTAAACATTCCCGGGACAAAGAACGAAAGCGATGCGCTCCGGTGGGAAGCCCCGAGTGACTTTCGGTCTTGCTTTAGAATCCAGCAGACGGCATCGCGCTTGATCACGTGCTTTCCGAATGACTGGTCAGCAAGTCTGCAGCGAGTAAAACTTGCCATAAAAAGGCCATGAGAAGGCTACTGTTTCAAGTTTGTACCACTGCACACCAAACAGGAGGTGCTTTCTCGCTACAGCGATCAAAGCCACAAAAGCTGTTTAAGGAAGCTTTCATTTTCCCAAACCCAGTTAAGTGGCTTTGGGCCCCATCAGACTGCGTCCTGAAGTTAGGTGTGCGACGTTTGACATCGGTAGGAGTTAGCCACGAGAGGTAGAGGGGGGGGGGATAAAAAAACGCTAGTGCAGCTCACACATTTTCTGAGCTGAGCCGAGCTAATTATATTCCCCTCGTCAGAATGCGGTCTTTTCAAAGGCCGCCGCCATGCTGCTTACTTACCCAAAGGACGTGGAGACCACAGATTTTCTGGTCATGCTACGCTCAAGTAGATGCATTCACTGCCTTTCCCAAGTGATCCTCACTTGACCTTCGGTCTTTTCTTCGCCGTGAAGTCGTATCAGCCGAGAGCACATGCTCGCCACAGACCCGACGACATTTCGCCGAATGTACCCAGCTAGGTAAGCACAAGCAGCGCCAGTGAACGTAGAACACGCTGCGACCGCCGCCATCAGTCGGAATCGCGGAGTCAGCGCCCAACGCGCTGACGGGACGCAGCCGAACGGTTCCAATCATTTGTTTTCCGTCCGCGAAAACAAACCGCTGAGGCGAACGGACTACATGGAGCAATGCGGGGAAGCGCGGATGACAGATGTTCGCGGCTTGCGGGAAACAAAAAGATGCTTATCATGCGGACCGGGAAATTACCGCCCGCCACTGCCACGAAACAAGGGGGAAGCGTTAAGCCACGAGGAGCGGTCCGGCTGGAGATAATAGCCATAAGAGCATTGGCGCCCCGGGGAGCATAAGTACTCGGCGAGAGAAGGGGAATAAAAGTTTGTTGTCAGTAACGAACAAGCACATTTTCCGGGCGGTGTCGAAAGCGTGACTATTGCAGTGCACACGGGAGATGCGAAAGTAGTGTGAGATCACTCCGTACCGCTTTGAGCTCGCACACAACGCAAGCCTCATCTATCAGTAAACTTTATAATTTTAAACCGTTTAAAGCCAGGGCACAGTTAGACTTGCAGAAATGAGTCAGGCACATTTCTTGTTGCTCAAGTTACGTTAACAAGCCAGAGCACAGAGAAAAACACATTTCGTTTGCGCGCATATACCTAAATGCATAGGGCGAATGACACAGTCGATAGCCAAGGGAACAACACACGCATTAACATTCGCTTAACGTCCTCGCATTTCATTCCGAATGGCATTGCCGTTTGACGAGTAAGTTTTCTGCGAACGCCGTGCCGACGCGGATATCGCACTCTAAGCAACCTCGTGACGTCAATAAGAACGCAATGAAATGCTCGCAGCAAGCCTCTGGGGACGAGAATTAAGGCCGTGTCACTGCGTTCGTTGGAAATCGCGAAGGAGGTTTGCTTTGCAGGAATCTGCTTGCTCAATGAAAAAAAAACACGAAAGCAAACAAAACCACGTCATGCAAAAGGTCTTTAGAACAAGATAGCAGATACCGCGCTACATTTTGGGTTATTGTACAGTTCGATGCTTCGAAAACCGAAAGTAGTCCTAATTTAACCCATGCCTAAAGAGGGGGTCTTCACGCTCTCCAGGGCCTACCTTCGATCGCCAGCCGTACCGGTTTACATTTGCAGTTTGCGTGAGGGCAACATAAGTTGCGCCAATCTGCAAAATCATCGAAGACAAACTCGTAAGAAAATTTCTCTGTATTTTGTCGGGTGCATTACGACGTTGCTTCGATGTGGCTAACGAAAACATTTTCTGTTGCTAAGCACAACAGGTCGCTTTTAACGTCGTTCCGTAGGTACAACAGCACTCTGTGGAAAACCAGCTAAGACGTTGCATGTGGAAAAGAGAAACGCTTCCCGGAATTTCCTCCGTCAAAGCCGTTGGCTGCAAAGGAGCCGGGAAATTCCATTTTGCAAAAAGCGCGCAAAGCAAATGCCTCACGGCGCGGGTCGGAGATCGACGGCTCACGAGCGGACGCTTTCAACCCGCCTTCGCTTTCACTCGAAATTGTATACTCTCAGGTCCGCGAAGAGCGCAAATCAAAGTGGAATAAAGCTCGAATGAATTGCGGCGCACACGACGACGACCGCCGGGAAAAGCGCATGCTGCGAAAGACCGAAAGACGTAATAAAAACGCTGGGGGCAGCCGGCCGATGCGCGCGGGCGACAGCCGCGAAGACCGAGTCAAATGTGAAATGTGACGCAAAAAAACGACTCCGCATAGTGCGACGGCAATCGAAATGGGAGTCGATGGAGTCGGGAAAAGAGAGCACTTCAGGTCGGGCTGAGCGTCGCCAGCGCAGCGTTTCTAACAGTGTGTAGAAATTCACTACGCGTGAATCATACGGACGAAGGCGGCAGCCGCAAATGACAAACGCCGTTGAGTCACGGAGGACAAGGACGAACGCTCTTTGCACTAACGTTCGCCCCTGAACCAATTTGACCCCGGGGACGTGGACTCAAAGTCAAGGCATAAGCGGCTTAGGCGAGGATCAATCATCAGCTGACTGTTTTTCGAAGCGCAGGGAGCGAGGTGGCGCTAAAGTGCAGATGACCTGCGGACTTTAGCTGAAGCCAGCAGGACTGAGGCGGCCAATGCGACAAGTGGTTGTTTTGGCCCGCGCGTAACACGCCGGCCAAAAATAGGCAGTTGACTGCGTGTTGCCGTCTGGTCTGGACGGCGATAAAGGTCATTGCCCTTAAAGCGACTAGGTACTTGTTTCCTGATGACGAAACGGAAAGAAAGGGTTCTGCCTGAAAGATAGCGTTACTTAGATGCAACTGCTGCCACAGTCCAATTTGTACGTCTATCTGCTGTCGAATACATAAAGCGTCAAAGTAGGTACACTACGTGCTAGGAAAAATACGAATTTGGGCGTTGCCTTCCACAAATGCGCTCACTGAAGCATTGCAAATAAATTACGCAGTGAACGGCGTTTGCTAATTGGCTAATTTTAGGAGTGATTAGCCCTTTTTCGGCATCGGAAATGACATCGAAAGACCAAAATTAGCGCAACGGAACGTTGAAGTCCCACAACGAGTCCCTTCTTCTCTCTTCATTTTCCATTTTTCCACGCATTAAACTTCGTTTCAAAACTGGAAAGATCAGTGACGAACTGACAGACATTTTTAGGCTTTCGCAAGAATCGCGACAGTTCGGAAAGCGAAAGCAAAAGACAGCTCGGAAAGAGCTATCGGAAAAATATCTGGCCACCGCCGATCGCAGTGATAAATTATCAGCGTGCGAGTACGCCGAGCTCTTCAGCGAAATTAACGACTTCGCGCAAAAAGTCCGCCCATGCTGTGCACGCGACCACAAATCACTCGTTCGCGATTCAGTAGCAGAACGCTACGAAACGTGGAAGAGAGGAGCGACTGTCAGGTGCATTTGGTTCAAAGAACAGCAGGAAACGTTCTTAGACGCGTAAACGATGTCAGGAAGAGCGTATCACAACAAACTCTATCGTATTCTCGTTGGAAACAGGAGCTTTTTTCGCAGCGCGGTACGCACGAACACCCGTCGCTGACATAATTTGCGTACGCTGGGGTTCCGGATTCGAATCCCGACATGCGCAAAAGAACGTTACATTCCAGGCGGGAGCCTATCTATCGTGAAGTAGCTACGCTTTAGAAGGAAAAATGTGTGTGCACGTAGAGAATTGACGGCCTACAAGGACATATATTCTAGCCAAAAATGTGTAACACTGAAACTGGCAAAATAACATGAATAAAAAGCGATTTGCGCATGCCGGGGTTCGAACCCGGGCCGATCGCTTGGGAGGCGACCATGCAAACCACTACACCACATGCGCACAGCGTCGGGACTCACGAGCTCGCTTATTTGGCCACTGACGGCCGGGAACATGTGGCCGTCCTACCACGTCCACATGCACTTATTTGCACATTTTTTCGGTCTCAGTAGCGACCTTCCGCCTAGTACCTAGGTGTCCGCAATATGCACGTCCTAATCACAGGATACAATGGAGAATTCCCCTCAAGCTTAGAGAACAGAGAAAGACAAGTAAGCTACTAAGCACGAGCCGTGGAATTATTATTAGCGGATGCAGGCTTGGCTCGGTATCGGCCGCTCAAGGAGTGCCTACTTCCTCTGTCTTAACTTGTTTGATGAACGAATGCATTTCATGATAGCAAGCCATTGGTTAGACTTACCTAGCGTCCAAAGTGTAAGTTATCGCACAAACTATAGCGCAGCATAAAACTTGCAATCAAGTGTAGGGCTGCAAACTCTGGAAGCGAAATTTGCAGGACGTTTGTGTACTACAACAATGGATGACGCCTCTATCGAAGAGGCCTCTGAGCGTGCGCAGCGAAGTAAATCGCCGGCATAGGGCCAGAGCGCGCAGTGCATAAACCGAGGCTTTTGGGGATGTTATAATTATCCTTTTCGCTCAAAATTATTGTTGTGGATGTCCTAAATAGTGCGGAATGCAGCTGGCCCAAAAATACGGTCTAGAATGGACATGGAAGCACGTAAAAAAGGTTTAGCCCCGTCTGGGAGTCGAACCCAGGTTTTCGGTTTGCTCCAAATCATTTCCGGAGACCGACGCCTTATCCTCTAGGCCAACGGGGCAAATCGTTCGCTTTTCGACCGATTTGGCCGTCAACCTGCAACGCGGCCTTTGCACTCACGTTGAGTGCTATCGCACGCCTTCGCAAGCGCATAATACTGATAATGAGTCAGGCTTCACCGATGTCGAGCTGGTTTCGGGGTCCGCGAACTATGTGTAAGGCAGAAAATGCTTAGCGCTTACGCAAGTGTGGTCATGCGCTAAGATACGTACAAATCTACCGAGGTGTTGCATTCCAGATTGCAAAATCTCGTACCATAAACGTTGTCGAAAAACTGGCATTTGCGGTCGAGAGCGCCTCCTAATCGAGGGAGGTAAGTGGGTGTGTAGAAGCTAATAAGGAGGGATGATGTTTGCAGGATTAACACACGACTTTATCGTGGGATGAAGAGCTTACGGGCACGCTTAATCCGTTGCAGATGAAGGTGGATTCTTCTTAACAGACTGCAGGGAAACTTTGGAAGGTACGGCTCGCCACTGCCATCATCCTTGCGACAAGAGAAACTCCCGGTTAAAGCACCGTTATGAACATGCTCATCATTCGCCCGTAAACAAACGTATTCCGCCGCAATTGTAAATGATTCATTATTCACTAGTGCTATGTGCTAGGCACAAGCACTTGCCGCATTTAGCGCTAAATTCGGCATTCGCTGTCGCTCTCTTCCGCTTTGTCGCATGCCGAGGAATTCAGGAAGTTGCGTTGAGGAAGCGAAAATGGCATCAGTACATGGACAATAGTGAGTTCACTGGTAAGGACTGAGCTTTGCAGACGCTAAGCACTAACCTCGACAAGGAACACGAAATTCACCATATGTAGGCATGACTAAGAATGCACGTAGGTACTCGCTATCAGTAGCAGAAGCAGGATAGAGTGTCAGGTCTTTGTGGGTTTTGGGGCAAAGCGTGGCAGAGACCTTCCTTCGATTACTCTAGGACCTGCGCTATTACCCAATCAAATAGACCCAAGAGCAGCTTACGCTTGTGCTATCAACAAATGACTTAACTTAAGCCACATCCGCTCAAACTTTAGTAAGACGATTCGCATTGTCGCAGTGGAGAAAACGCTTTGATTGCAGTTAAGTTTGCACAGAGCCAAGAGCTTTTAATCTCAGCTTGAGATGTAAACTGTGTACGTTATGAGCGCTGATAAGCGACTTAGCGACTTATTACGGGTACAACGGATTAAACGCGCTTCAAGCTGAACAACACCGCTTAGGGTGAACACTCAGACACCTCGAGAGACAAAATTGTTTCAACGGAACGGAAAAAGGCATTTTTGTGTTTAACTTTCTTTTATAAGAACGGCTCGTGTTGCATGAGTATGCACCAAGACGGCCCTAACCTCACGCCAAAAAATTAACATGACGCCTTGAAAATTAGGTGAAACAGAGAGTTAAGCTGTGCGCGGTGAGCTTCACCGGAGTAAAGCTCTTCCAGACAGACACCCACCAATAGTCATTTCAAGCCCGAGGCGCCCACATCAATCGACGCGCCTGGATCGATCTTTGGCGACGGAGGCACTGACGTAAGTTTTAGCACGCATACGATGCCGCCTAGATAAGAGACTTTCGGTCAGACAAGGCGTGATGCGTAGTCCGAGACTGAAAACGCGACACGACGACGGCTCCCGACGGCAGTCCGTCGCCTCCTACCGCTCCCATCTCCCATCCGACGAGCCACATAAGGAACTAGACCGACGGGCGGCCGGCCGGAAAAAAATGCGACGGCGGCGGATGGGCGACAACGGAATTGGGAGAAAAGAGCCGCTGGCGAGAGCTAGCCGCAAGAGCCGCGGACCGAAATTAACGGAGCCTTACGGGCGGTAGCTAGGAGGACGCTGAGAGCACTAAGAGAGTGATACCTAATCAGCGAGAGCGCATGCGCATGCATGCACGGGAGCTGCGTCCGAGGGCTTTCTCCGTGCACGGAGTCCTTTGATGCCCGTTTTTCTCGGCATAATTTCGCAGGACACCAGCCGGCAATGCGCGGTCGCAATTCGAAAGGAAGAGTGACGCAAACCGCGAGTATTGAGAGAGCCCTTGTGGCGACCATTGGGCGATCTTCGGATACGCGAGAGCTCCCATTCTCTGTTGGCCGGTGGGCCGTCTGGAGCCGTCGGTCAAAAGCGAGAGTGCTCACAGGCAGAGAGCAGCAGAAAAAGCCGAGGGCTACTCTCGCGAGAGCCGTAGAGAGCACGGAGAGCTCATCAAAAGTGCGATCTTCGTCGGACAAACGGATGGTACGGCGCATTCGCGAGATATTCGAGAGCGCGAGAGTAACCGAGAGTCGTGCATGGCTCTCGACGAATAGTAGCTGCGTTCCACGACGTATATGACCCATTCGGGAATCCCCCTTTTTGCAGCACGTCAACCGCCCGGGCTTTGTTAGCCCGGCTCTCGCTGGACACGGCGCAGCGTGAATGTCCTCATAAGCCGCTCGTCGGCCACTCCTACTAGCGACCGCCGGCATCAGTTGCGTGGCGGCAGCGGAATGCTACTAAACGTCGGCCCATTTGCAGCGATCTGCTTAGCGCCAGCGGGATAACAACCACATGACGAGCGTGCGGATTCGTTTACAACCGTTACAGCAAACACCATTTTTGGGAGCAACCAAACGACCGCGGCCTGTGGGGGACTGACTACCCTGAAGAAACGACACGAGGGCATAAAATCAGACCTTTGAAATCGTGTGTTGCGTAAGCTTTGGACCACAAGAAGGTCAGGTGCTGTTCTTGTATGTACATGCCGATATATTTGCAAGCGTGAGTAGCAGTCCTTTTTACACGCGGCTTGGTTAGTCCGCTGGCATATTATACGTGCATGCGAGACAAAGGGTAATTGGGCATGCTAGTACGCGCATACGCTTTGCATAGATAGTTACGGGTACCGTGACAATGTGCAAAAGGGTGTTTTTTTTACCTTTACCGAAAATGACTCCCACCAAGCTTACAAGTAGGCGTGGGCGATAGCGACGTGTAAGCATGGAAAGCTCGATGTCCTTCCAACATTTAGGTCGTTTAGGTGTCTGCTTGAGTCAGGACAACCTGACCTGTATTGTTTGCAGGGAACGGCAGAAACGTCAAAATGTCGTATGCACGTCGGTCTGAAGTAGTTGTTATTGTCGCGATGACCGGTATGACCCGCGAGGATGAAATAGACGAAGTTAGATCAAAGTTGCAACACCTCTGATTCCTGCTTCCCTGCGATAGCGAGCGCTATCGCATGGAAGCAGGAAACGCAAGGTCACGCTGGAACATCGTGTCGTACCACAAATGAAGGCAATTGGTGAGCTGATTACGAATCATTCTTCACTTTGGTCTGGAGCCCCCCATAACCCCCATAATAGGGGGGGGGGGGGTGAACCCCTTAAAATGGCGATTTTTCGAGGTCATTCTAAAACATCGAGTCATACCTTAAATGAAAGCCCTCTGGAAGCTGATTACGAGTCATTCTTCATTTTAGTCTCAAAACCCACTTTGCCCCCGTAAAAGTGGTCAACCCTCTAAAATATTAATTTCCGGTGATTTCTAGGGCGTTATACGAAGCCTAGAATACTGGATGTATGCAGTAGCGCTAAAATTCGTAAGTTATCTGGCTGGTACAAGTAATCCCCACTAGCGGCGCCGGCTGCGCGAAGCGCAGCCCAGCCGCTAGTGTTTTATATGAGGACATGTCCCACGTTTATTAGTTGTGGTGGCGTCGTGCATGCCGGTCAACAATGCCCTTTCTCCTTGCAGCTCACGAAATCCAAGAGATTCCGGAAAGTTACAAGCGATGAGCACTTGCAGAAAAACGAGACAAGTAGCAATTTATGGCAGTGAAGTGACGTAGGCAAATGACGAGAATATGTGACTTTGGATATACCTAAATAGATTTCTGAAGATAGCATTTGTTGAAGAAGTGAGCGTTCGATCGTCTTTCATCCGAGTTCTGCTTCACGTCCATATTCCATCGTCGTCCGGAGTGTTGTCGTCCTGCAAAAGCAATACGTGTTGAGCCGAAACACTTCTGAGAAATAGGCCGCGACATACCCGAATTCCATGCGTGAAACTTGGCGGTGCAGAAGCAGAGACGACTCCGTATCGCTGTTGGAACAGCGACGTACTCAGGTCCAGCGGTTGAGCAACTTCCGTGTGCAGCCACGTATTAGCTGGAAATACATGCGTAATACATCGATTATCGCTCTCGTTGCATACCCAAGTAAGGTCCACCTTCGCCGGTACTGAACATCCCGTCGTCCTGCGAGAGCAAGCGGTGCTTCAGCTGCTCCTTCTGCCGCGCGAGGATCTCTACCTTTTCGTTGATGGTGTCGGGCGGGCCTTTCAGCAGCAGGATACATGCCTCCTTCTCGCGAACCACCGCCATCACCGTCTCCTTGCGCAGGTTGAGCATCTGCCGTTGGAATTGTTCGCGTGCCTCGGTGAGCTGACGGTGGAGGCCTTCGGCTTTCGCGGCTTCTTGCATTGCCCGCTGGTCCGCGCGACCGGGAATGTCCTTGTAGAGCTCCGCAACCTTAAATACAGAATGATATAATGTCTGCCACAAACATGTATTCAAGGTTTAAGGTGTTACGGCCAGGCCAGCACAACCCGAATTTTTCGGGCACTTTGAGCTGATCTGAACTGGGCCCGGTTCAGTTCAGTTCTGAGTACTTCTAGTTAGGCGACTCTACCTGGTTGTTCAGTTGTTGTATGAGCTGCTTCTGCTCGACAATTTGCTTGTCCCTTTCCGAAGTGATACCGACGGACTCGCGGAGTGCCTCCTCCAACTGCTGGATCCTAAAAGTCCACAGACATGCGCCCAAGTTTGCATTGCCACACAGACAAACCTCATCTTTAGCGATGAGCTTTCACTCTTGCGGTCCAGGCTGCGATCCGCGTCTTTGAAGTCGAATGGCAACGCGCTGCTGGGTCTGAAAGACACTCTGAACATGAAGCATGCCTTTGATCCACACCTTTCGGGAGCAGTGTCACCGATGCGTGCACGGAGTGCGTGTTTGTCCT